AGAGGGCTGTCTCTGAAAACGTCCCAGTAATCACAGCAATACCGTGGAAACGAACCTCATGGTTGAAGCGAGGCACTGAACGCCTTTTGAAAGCCAGGAGGAAAGCATGCCACAAGTGGAGGACACCGTGAGGGGAGACAGGCGGTCAGTCCAGACGAACCTTGCCCAAAAGCTCGAGGCAAATCCTAAAAACCCATATCGGTTTATGGTAGGCGGAAAATCCACCAGCCAGGGGGGGTTGCGTCCTGAAAGGCCTAGGCGGAGAGAACCTCTCCGGACTAGAGATCGCCGAAGCCTTTAGCGCCCCCTTCGATACGCAACTCAAACGTCCCTATCAAACCAAAATTACCAACTGTCCGACCGAAATTCAGCATCACCAAACGCAGTAGAGTCGCCTGGAATAAAGGTAACTCCTGCTGTGGTCCTCGAAAACCTGTCAAAGCTCCTCCCAGGGAAGCCACCAGGGTGTGATGATATCCGACCGGCTGTGCTGAAACAGTGCGCGGGTGCCTTGTGCGGTCCACTGTGTGGCTTGTTTCAACACTCCTTAGACAATCACGTGCTTCCACGAGGGTGGAAAAGTGCTATTCTGTCCATCTTCAAAGGTGGGGACAGGCAGAACCCAAAATGCTACCGACCCATAGCCCTCCTACCAGTGTTGTCAAAAGCAATGGAGAGTCTGGTAGACGACCATGTCAGGGAGTGCTTGGAAAAGAGGGGAGCACTGAGTGATGCACAACATGGTTTCAGAAAGGGTAGGTCCTGTGCCACAAACATTCTGGCGGCAGGTGATAAGTGGACGGCATGCTGGGACCTCCAAATTCCTGTCCATGTTATTTTCCTGGATTTTACTACACACACACCGTTCTTATTCACAAAATAGAGAGGTTGAGCATCAAGGGACAAGTGCTTTCATGGTTTCAGGACTATCTAGACGGTAGACAATTCTGCACAAAAGCCAACAGAGTTTGCTCGACTTGAAGGACATCATCATATGGTGTATCACAGGGGGCGATTCTGGGTCCGCTGCTATTCCCTCTTTTTGTGAACTACCTCCCACTGAATCTCAGCTCCCCAATCCTACTCTACGCTGATGATGTTAGGCTATGGAGAGCTGTGACGTCAGAAGCAGACTCAAGTGCACTGCAAAGTGATCTCAGATTACTTGCAGAGTGGGTGGATATTAATGGACTTGCATTCAACCTAGATAAGTGCCGAGCCATGTTTCTCCGCACCCCAGACTCTCGGAAGGTACCCTATTCTCTCTGTGGAACCCAATCCCAGACTACTCGCCGTCCAGTTCGACTCATATGCCTCCCTCACAGACGTTCTACAGGCATGGTATAATGCGAAGGATCGCATGGGTGGCTCAATACGTATATGTGAAAGTAAGCCTAGACCCACAAGGCAAGAGGAGAGACGACAACCACCAAGACCTCTGGAGTCAGTGGTCGTCACACAGGCGCTGACCAGTGAGTTAGATACATCAAGTAAAGAAGCCACCACTGCCACAGCCCCCACCCAAGTTAATAACAAAACACCAAAAAACGGAACAATGCCAGTCCTATGAGGACTGGCGAGGGTAGACCCAACCACATAAGCGCTCATCCTGCGAAAATACACAACCAGACCTCCCCCTCACCAGGCACACTCTAATATGTATGTACAGCAACGTTAGGGGGCTAAGAGGGAAGGTAGCAGAAATGAGGACGCTGCGTGCACATCAGCACTCCGACATCATATTCATCACCGAATCCTGGCTCTCGTCAGACATCTCCGACGAAGAGATGCATGTTACTGGCATGGAACTCTTCCGCAGGGACAGGGAACATAGAGCAGGAGGAGGAGTGGCTATCTACGTAAACTCCTGTTTAAAGGCAAGGATGGTTAGCGATACGGCCTTAACCCAGCTCCCAGAGTCCCTATGGTGCTACTTCACTCTCCACAGTACCAAATACCTGCTCGGAGTCATATATCGGTCCCCCACCTGCTCCCCTACACATAAGGAAATGATCATCAAGGCTATCTTAACGACTTCCTCTGCAAATTACGATTCCGTAGTCATTGCCGGCGACTTCAACACCCCGTCCATCCTCTTCGAGACGGAAGGGAGACGCATCAGATCCTTCAATCAGAAGCTGAAGGATGCAATTAAGACTGCTGGCCTCTCAGAGAAAGTGGGTGATGCTACACGCTGGGGACCTAACGGAAACGCATCGCGCCTTGACTACGTTCTGACGAACGATGAACTTCTCATTGAGGATGTTTGCATCCAACCTCCCCTTGGCCTCAGTGACCACGCTGTAATCACCTTCTCCATGATAACTAGGGAGGCTCTGCAACTGGAGACGCCCAACACCTTCCCTTGCTACAGCAAGGCCAACTATGAGACCATGAGGGACTACCTCATGAATGCATCATGGCCAGTGGACTGGACTCATCTCACAATAGATGAACACTGGTTGGAGGTGAAGAAAATAATCACTGGGGCCATCAGTCACAGTGTACCAGAAGTAACACACAGACAATCAATGAGAACCTCATGGTTAAAGCGTGGGACAGAGAGGCTTATCCGGAGCAAGAAGCAGGCTTGGTTCAAGTGGCTTACATCACGCAGGGAGTCTGACTTCTTGAACTACAAAAGGATTCGCAATCTCTGTAACATTAGAGTGCGTAACGACAGATTTTCCTACCAAACAAACTTGGCAGCGAGGTTACAAAGCAACCCCAAAAACCTGTACCGCTTCATGTCAAGAAGAAAGTCGACCAGTAAGGGAGTGAATCTTGTCACAGGCCATGACGGGAGTGTGCTAAGCAGTCTAGAGATTGCCGAGCTTTTGAGCTCACACTTCCAAGCCCAACTCAGCACTGACACAAGATCCACACCGACTCGCCACGACACCGACCAGGTCGCAAATAACGAATACCTCTGTCACGTCTCTATTACAGAGAAAAAGGTGTTCGAGAAGCTATCTAGGCTACGTCCGGGCAAGTCCCCTGGCTGCGATAACCTGAAACCAGTGGTTCTGAAAAACTGCGCCGAGGTGCTTACCAAACCACTTCGCAACCTCTTTGAGCACTCAATAGACTCGTGCAAACTCCCTAAAGAATGGAAGAGTGCCATCTTGTCACCCATCTTCAAGGGAGGAGACAGAAAAAACCCTGGCAGCTACAGGCCGATTGCCCTACTCCCTATTGTGTCGAAAGTGTTGGAAAGCCTGGTAGCTGACACCATCTGGGAATTCCTCAATAGAGAAAACACTGTCCACACTGCTCAGCACGGCTTTCGTAGTGGTCGCTCATGTGCCACCAACTTACTAACCGCCTGGGACGACTGGACACAAAGCTGGGATAATAGAAAACCTGTACATGTTGTATTTCTCGACCTAGCCAAAGCATTTGACAGTGTCCCACCCACAGTACTGCTTCACAAGATCATGTCAGCTGGTATAAGTGGACCCCTACTCTCTTGGTTCAAGGAGTACCTGGAAGGGAGGCAGTTCTGCACTAAAGTGAACAGAATAAGGTCGGAGTGGAGACCGTCGACGTCAGGAGTATCCCAAGGAGCAATCCTAGGACCGCTTCTGTTCCTCCTCTTTGTCAACGATCTGCCAGACAAAATATCCTCACCCATCCTCCTCTTCGCTGACGACATAAAAATTTGGAGGGTGGTAAACGAAGAAGCCGACTGTGCAGCACTACAAAAGGACTTGCAGCAACTCGAGCTCTGGTCGTCGGAAAATGGCCTGAGCTTCAACTGGAAAAGTGCAAAGTAATGCACATCAGTAAAAATGAGGCAAGTACGACCGACTTCCAGTACATGTTGAGCAACCGTGCTATCACCAGAGTGTCCATGGAGAAAGATTTGGGGCTCAACTTCTCCGACACCTTGGACACCAGCTCCAACTACAAAGGTATGACAACCAGAGCGAACGCCATTCTACACTTTCTGCGTAGACAGCTTGGCGCCCTCACTCCCGAACTCTTCCTCACCATTTTCAAATCCTACGTGCGGCCGCACCTAGAGGTCTTCAATACGGTGGCTCCTCCAACACTCAAGAGAGACTCTAATCTCCTTGAAAGAATACAAAGAACTGCAACAAAATGTGTTGTGGGGCTAAGGGGAAAGACGTATCCTGAAAGACTTAAACACCTCAACCTATTTACCTTGGGTTATCGCAGGAAAAGGGGTGACCTCATTATGGCATACAAGATCGCCCATCAGGCAGACCATGCAAACAAATCAATTTTGCCTGCAACTGAACGATCTTCACGAGGAAACCCCTTTAAGATAGCACACCAGAGAGCCAACACCACACTCAGGTCCAAATTTTTCTCCCTGAGAGTATGTGCTTTATGGAATGCCTTACCGCGACACATCGTTATAGCTCCTTCAATCGACTCTTTCAAGAGGCGATTAGACAGTTATGTCACCTCGCATGGACTACCACGGACGTACTCAGGTAGTCACCAACCTCAGTACCCCCAACTCCCTCCTAACTACCACTCACTATCTCTCTCCTTAATACACCCACATTACCTACTAATTCTTCTGTAGGAACCAAACCCACGCGACCATTCGGGCAATTCCCAAATACTTTTCTTTCGTTCTCATTTCTCTCTTCACCCCTTCTTTTCTTCTCCTTCCCTTTTCTCTTCCCTACATTATTATTACTTTATTTATTTATTTTACTCTTCCTTATTTCTCTCTTCATTCCTTTACCACTACCTTACTATTCTCTTTCAGGTACCTACACAGACAGGAGTCACGGCAGTTCTCTAAACTTCCCAGCAACCCGTAGCTCCCTAATCACTCTACAAATTACAACCTACTAACCCACAAAACATCCACCTCACCGAAGCTAAAAGCAAGAAAGCAGAGGGGATTTCCTCGTCCACTGCAGGAGTAAACCGAACAACTGGAACCAAGCCCTAAGAACTAGACGCGAGAGATCAAAAACTACTAGTTTTCTACGCTCGCACTATCAATATTGGATATTGGATTGGAAGGTTGGCGCGCTCCTTGAGTAGTGACGTGTTTCGCTCGTCTCTCAGCTTTTGGATTTTTCCACAATGAAAAACTCCCACTTGCAATACTCAATCTAAAAACATCGAACGTTTGCAGCACTTCTGTCCGTCCACGCACCTCACCCCTGCGCATTCGTCAGCTCACTCCTCAACAGTTGAAAATTGGCATTATTATTCCTTTGAACCAACCGGTCTACCTCCTGTCAGTGGTTCTTGGGCGTTTCAACTGCCAAACTGCCTTAGCTCTCGGTTCTCCTCGGAGGTCATTCCCCAGGAAATATCTTTCCTGGTTATACATACGCATCTGGAGCTTACGGTTAAACTCGTTGGTCAAGAGCAGAGGATCAAGTGACAAGTGTCTGAAGGTGAGCCAACATAAATTATCTTCCCTTTTCTATTCTGTCCTTTTGCTGCATTCAGTCTTCAACCCTCTTATTGTTGTTAACTACTTGTTTTCCCAAGAAGTTTATATCATAGCGACATGTCTGCCCAAAACGCTAGGTCTGAAGCTTTGACACGGATAACGCGGTCGTGCACAACAACGGCCAGTAACACCCTAAACAACACACTAGTCTGTACTAGAAGACAAACAGAGGTAGGGCAGAACACCGAACTTCTAAAGAAGTGGCCAACCCATGTTTCTAGAATTCCAGTCGCCATCAGACAGGTGACACAGAGTAGCACTAGCCCGTCACAAACTAGTCCTATCTTGAGCAAGGATCATACCATGCCTGAAATAGAAGACGACGTAAAAGGCTTCAGAACAAGGCAGCCACAAGCAGTTCGCCACAATCCGTAGCACCTTATTCATGGAAGGAAGGCTGTATTACGACACCCGATGGCTGCAGTGTTTGCACCAAAGTTGTTTCGGTAGTCGATGAGGCATTTGCATGCAACCTATGTCAACGATGGGCGCATTGCCACTGCGATACCAAAGTCCCCCGACAATACTATAAGCTGATGAAGAGACAACCATGCAAGTGGTTCTGGTACATCTGTCCAGAGTGCAGGAAAATGCCCGCACTCCGCACAGAAAGCCTGAAGGAGATGCTCTCCGCCACGCAAAAGCTACCAGCATCCTCGAATAAAGTAGGGTTAACACCAAAGGATAACACAGAGAGACCTGGAAACAGACCTAGAGCTCCAGCTGTGGGCACGCCACCTCGCGTGGGGACCATATTAGGTCAAGTCTCCATACCCCCTACCCGGCCCCAGGGGACGTCAAGCGCATGGCCAAAGACATCGACCGCCGAAGCCTCTACGAAACCCATTCCGAACACCCCACACACCGTGACTGAGAAACAACCAGTGGAATTACTCAAACCCATTGGGAAGTCGGGCGTGCCACCCACAACGAACCCAGGTCACAGGAGGACCAACTCGATCATTTTGTTCAACGTCGATGTATCGACAGACTCATTGTTGGTCGAGAGGGAACAATTTGACAGCCGAATGTGGACCGACTACTGTCAGATGCTGGGACTCCCTCCCCTCCCTGCAACTTTGTGTCGCCTTTCTCGAGGAAGCCGTGCACCCCGAGATAAGCCACCCCCTTTACGTGTGTCCCTAAATACCGCCAAAGAGGCTGAAGACACACTCCTCCTCTCGCGACAACCGGACGTTGTTAATGCCTGTAAAATTCGGGCCAGGCCTGACAAGCCATGGTCAATAAGAGAGGAGGAGAGAAAGTCAGCGGTTGGAAATCCCAACAGAAACAACACTATAGTTGTACATGGGATTCCAGAATTGCCAAGTGACAGCTCGGTCAAAGATCGGTACTTTCACGACGTCCAACAATGGCAATGGCTCTCAACCAAAGTTGGTCTCAACAGTATACCGGCCAACAGCGTCAGTAGACTGCCAAGGCCAGCGCACCTGAAGACCATACCCAATCCCAGACTACTCGCCGTCCAGTTCGACTCATATGCCTCCCTCACAGACGTTCTGCACGCATGGTATAATGCGAAGATCGCATGGGTGGCTCAATACGTATATGTGAAAGTAAGCCTAGACCCACAAGGCAAGAGGAGAGACGGCAACCACCAAGACCTCTGGAGTCAGTGGTCGTCACACAGGCGCTGACCAGTGAGTTAGATACATCAAGTAAAGAAGCCACCACTGCTACAGCCCCCACCCAAGTTAAGAACAAAACACAAAAAACGGAACAATGCCAGTCCTATGAGGACTGGCGAGGCTAAAATCAACCACGTAAGCGCTCATCCCGCGAAAATACACATCCAGACCTCCCCTCTCATCAGGCACACTCTAATATGTATGTACAGCAACGTTAGGGGGCTAAGAGGGAAGGTAGCAGAAATGAGGACGCTGCGTGAACATCAGCACTCCGACATCATATTCATCACCGAATCCTGGCTCTCATCGGACATCTCCGACGAAGAGATGCGTGTTGCTGGCATGGAACTCTTCCGCAGGGACAGGGAACATAGAGCAGGAGGGGGAGTGGCTATCTACGTAAACTCCTGTTTAAAGGCAAGGATGGTTAGCGATACGGCCTTAACCCAGCTCCCAGAGTCTCTATGGTGCTACTTCACTCTCTTCTTTATTCTCTCTTCATTCCTTTACCACTACCTTACTATTCTCTTTCAGGTACCTACACAGACAGGAGTCATGGCAGTTCTCTAAACTTCCCAGCAACCCGTAGCTCCCTAATCACTCTACAAATTACAACCTACTAACCCACAAAACATCCACCTCACCGAAGCTAAAAGCAAGAAAGCAGAGGGGATTTCCTCGTCCACTGCAGGAGTAAACCGAACAACTGGAACCAAGCCCTAAGAACTAGACGCGAGAGATCAAAAACTACCAGTTTTCTACGCTCGCACTATCAATATTGGATAATATTGGATATTGGATTTGGTTGAGGAAAAGAGGAAGTAGAAGGTTTTACAGTGATTCATATCAAACCAGCGTAATGGACACGCGTTGTTAGGCTAATATAAGAAGTAAGCCAACTTTGTTGAAATCGTGAAACTATCTTTGTGTTAACGACAATGTTACGACGTATGTATGCACTGGTAGACCTGAAGTTGCGATGGTTGTTGAACGTATATATGCTGAATTGGGCATATATGCATTCAACAACCATCACAACTTCAGGTCTACTAGTGCATACATACATCGTAATAAGTATATAAATATGAATTTCCCAACTTAGATCTGAAGGTAAGTTCGAGATGATGAGTTTTCCTCATTGTATAAATATCAAGTATGCATGCCTTTCTGTTGTGTATCGGTTTTCTGATATCCCCAGAAATGTCTAGTTAACCAGTGGGGATAAACCCCACTAGTGCGGACAGTGCGGATATTTTGTTGCATTTCCCCATTTACTCACCATTAGTTTTCCTCATTTTTGTCAGTTTGGGTTTTGGCTGATTAATGTTTTTATGTAAGCTTCAATCCCTTGTAACTAAAATCTGTCTCTTGAGCTCCGTATAGAGCTATATGGCTTATCTGTACCAACTTGAGCATGTTTATTAGTGTGCATGGGGTTCCCTGCAATTACGGTTTCCTTAGTTACTTATATGAGATGGCTTGGGTAGGTTTTCGAATTTCATCTTTGAGCGGATCACCGTATTGCTGTTTGTAGTATGCCTAATTCCATACAAACTGTAACTGTCTATTCAGTTGGTGATTTTCAATACGCCTACTTAATTGGTGGAAAAAATTATTGTTTCTGAGTGTGCACTGCCAGTGTTTTAGATTAGTGAAGTAATTCTCGTGTAGTGAGGTGTAGATGAATCTTGCTATAACAAGACTGCCCTATAGGGCAGGAAGATTATAAGTATAAAAACGACTTGCAAACGGGTCCCATGATATATTTTTATAGAATCTGATTGTCATGATTTGAACCAGATTTGTTGTTTGAGGGTAGAAGGCTGAGTTTATATTAATCCTTGTAGATAGATGTGACTGGCGTCCTTCCAGTCATGAATTAGTCTCATATTTTCTATGTTGTAAGTAGTAGTTGTATCGTTTAGTTTTGTCCAGCAAATGCTGAGGAGGTCAGTGTGCTGCATCCAAATAGTATGGGTGCTCAGAAGAAGGCAGTTGAATTATAAACCGTTTTAGAAACTTCCGTTGAGTAGTACTGTTTACATATATGTGCATACAAACCATTTAACGTCATTCTTATACAGTTCACCATTGGTGCCTGTCAGTTCACGGAAATATTAATAGTTGAGATGCAAATCTTGTACTTATAATCCGTGTAAATCAGTACATATTGCACTACCTTCAGTAATATAAAGGGGGAAATGCAGTTTTTGTCCACATTATTGGAAATTATGTGTTCTACAAATTGCACAACGAATTAAATGTCAGTTCGTCTCGGGCCCAGCTATAGTATCTTGCGACATCATTCCCTAGTTTCACCACCATCTCGGGTACTGTAAGTTGATCATACTACTATCTAGTAACTGACATCACTCGGGAGTTTCACCTCTCTGCCTGTCCACAATTAGTTGTGTTTGTTCTGTGGACGTCTGCAGACTTCCTCTATACACCAGTAAGCACCTAGGTAGTAAGGAATCCAATGCTGTTGAGTGTTCTGTTTCAATGAAAGTGTGGAGTAGTGTCTCGACAGTGTGATTTGTGCACTCTACTAGCCCATCCCCTTCAGGATGATAAGCTGTCGTTCAAGTCTTTCCGATGTTAAGCAAGTGGCACATTTGGCTGATTAATACTTTCAAATTTTAAGCCCTGATCAGAATGCCACTGTTCCGTATACTGAGACAGCAGTGTGTACGGTATCGTTGGCAGGTTTTAGTGAGCTAGAGTAGGCAAGTCACGGACGATGAAACATCACAGCTTTATCCAGCAGTAAGCACCAGTGAGGGAAGACCGGAATCACCCGACAATAAGGGAAAAAGTTGGGAGACCGCGTGTTTGTGGGCAATATGAGATCAGATGTTGGTAGCGAACGGGATATTATGCTTACAACCGGCCACCAATTAAGTCAGACGAATTGAAGTACTACATTCATTAGTAACTGCAACTCTGGAGGAAGCCCACACTAATTTGGGGCATGGAGGTATTAATAAAATGGTGCATCCGATTGGATGCTGATACTGTTGGTCACAACAGTAGAGGGATGTTCGAAATTTCGTCCACAGCTACACAGCATGTAGGCGTATTAAGAACCGTCCAAGAAGACCACAAGCACCCTTAATTAGCATGAAGGCTGGCTTCTCGAATGAGGCAGTAAGTGTGGACATTATTGGACTGCTACGTGAGACAACGAAAGGAAATAAATATATCCTTGTCAAGTTAGACTGTTTCACAAAATGGTTTGTGATTTTCATATCGTACTTGGACGAGTTCTGTTCATTTGTACTATTGCTGACTAAAGCATTATCCACTTGTGTCTTTTTATTTGACGATAGGCAATTACAGTTTGGTTTTGATTGTTTCTTAGTTTGAACGTTGTTACATTTGCTTGGGCTATTCAATTGTCCATGGATTCCCATACACTGGTTATTTTTTCTAACTTGTTTGCCACTGTCAATATTTACCAAAATTTACTTTATATTTTAAGTGGGTCAATGTTTACATGCTGCCGCCTGATTAAACCCCTAGTTATGAGTAGTGTTTGGAATCTCCAATAGAGGAAGGTTAAGGATAGCTTGTTCACCGTTGGTCTGTAATTATCTCTGGCAGCATTTACTTAGGCCATACTTGGGATGTTTTCCAGGCAATAATCCTTTAACAAAGTTTAATAGCATCTTCAAAATACCCAGGCTTTACACCTTATTAGGTATAAGCTTTCAAAACTCTCGAACTTTCCAGTTTGTTTTCAGTAATCAGGATACTAGACCAGTTGGCCTGTGTTAATCCTGGCAGAAGATATATCTGTGAAGACCTCGTTCCTCCTTGAACGCGTTGACCGAAGGTGCTGATACTACTTGGTGAGACAAGGAGTTCCAGTCGTTGTTCACACTATGGGAGAAATGTGGATTTACCTTGACTTGATTTCATTTCGGGTTTTGGATTTATGATGCCGTCGGAGATAATCAATCCTAGCAGGAGAGAAAAGATAAGACATCAGTACTGAAGTAATTATTAAGGATACGGAATGTTAGCATAAGATCACCCCTTTTCCTACGGTAAGGCATTGAGGATAAGGTTAACCGATCGAGTTGTTCCTCACAGGGCAGATTCTAAAGGCTTGTCACAAGCTTAGTACCTATCCTTTAAGCACGCTTAAGTACATGAGCATCCTTTTTTACATCATCGGTGAAAAGGACCGCTGAAGAGTTGAAAATTTGCATTAATTCGTTGGCATATAACAAGAAAAGTTCCTTAAGAAACCACTTATTACAGGTTTCCACCTGTAATCTGCCCCATTAACCCTCGCTCTTTTGCCTTCTGTTCCACACAGTCCCTAATACAGGCTTGCGGTGCAGCACCTAGCTCGAAAGAGGAGAGCTTTCCTAGTAATTTTACATGAGACATTTTTTCGAATGCCTTACTGAAATCTATAAACACAGGATTTATCGGCAGCTTGAAATCTGGGGCTAAAACCCATTTCTTTCTCACCTTGTCCAGTACGAAAACCGTGTTGCTGTGGTGCCGAAACATTATTTGATTCAACATGGTTACGTACCTTATCACGAATTATTTTTTCGAAAACCTTAATAACTATGCTAGTTAGACTCACATGAAGATAGCTAGCCACCAGCTGGTGACTACCAGCATTAAAAGCTCCACTGATTGTGGCATCTTTCCAGGCGATACTGAGATGGGAACATATTGAAAAGATCAGTGACTAGCTCAGCAATGATGTCTGTTAGCAAAGATAACAGTCTGGAGTGAAACTCATCGTGACCCGGGGATTTCCCAGGTTTAAGATTAATGGGCAACCGGAAGACTGTTTCCTTTGTTATAAACACCTTATCCATTGGTGAAGCTGTGTTGATACCATTATTGAACGCTTCATCAGAGAAAACGTCACTAAAGTAATCCGATAGTTATTCAGCTTTGGATAGATAAGATTCTGCAAGACTATCGGACTTTCCATGCGTCACCACATTTTCTTTTAGTCCTCTTTCTAATTAGCGCAAACAATATTGGCAATCATTTGCAGACTGTTCCTCGTAAAACATCAATTTGCAGCCTTTGCACTACCCAGTTTTAAATGTTTCCAGTCCATAAACAAGTCCCGTAAATGCTTCCTCTGCCTTTATAGTTCCTGAGTGTTTTTATTACACCACGGAGGACGATGTGAGGATCCTTGTAAAGCCGACTGTGGAATAAATGGCGTCGATGCGTTTTCTAATAGTGTCCTCAACCTATCCATGGAGTTCTCGATTGATGAGTCAGTCCTTATACTTAGAATGTCTGCGCCCCACACTTTAAGTCTAGGGAAAGCAGTGTCGTAACCAAACATACTTTCGAAGGCCGGAATTAAGATATACCTAATCGCTTTTAGTTAACGGAGGGAAGTATCGCAAACCCATAATGTCTTCACGTTGGTAGGCTGAAAACTGAATGCTTTTATTCCAATTACGTATATCAGTTAGAAGTGAAGTCACTTGCAAGCAAGATTGACTACGGTAAACTACCCCATTAATGCAGAAACCTTGCTTTGACTTCAGCTCACAACTGGTCACTTCTCAGGTACTGCATTCATGTGCTTCGAAGCTAAATGATCGTATGTGGACGTCATCACGGACATAGCGTAGTATGCCACCACCTTTTCGACCCACGATCCTGTCTTTACACGGTAATATCCTTTTGAAAGTGGCGTAAAATCTAAATCCTTTATTAACCAGGTTTCGGCAAGGGCTACTACATCAGGGTCTAGTTCACAAATGAGTCTCGAGGTCTGTCATCTTATTTACAATGTTGTAAACATTGGTGTAGATTACGTTCACTGTATTTGAAGAGTTCCATGACCTACTCATGTAGGTCTTGGAAGCATTCATTTCAAAGGCCTGAAAATCCA